AGAAATCTAACTATGGGAGGTGAACACACAGTGTAAACATATATATGCCCTACTGTTAAAGTGTACAGCTGAAACTTATTGGATTTCGTTAACCAATGTCACCATAGAAAAAATAATAAATTTTTAAAAATGCTTAAGATGGTAAATTTTGTTATGTGCATTTTAATTAAAATAATTAAATTAATTAAAATAATTTAATTAGCCATACACAAAATATTTAATTAACCATAAACCAATAACCATTAACCACAACCAATTAAATTTATTTGCCCACAATTAAAAATGTAAACTACAAGAAGTGACAGGAAAGGATTAGTCGAGTTTAAGGCAATATTTATTCAATTTCTAAGGCATTGTGGTAGTTATTTAGCAAGGATACAATTCCTTTTAAGGTCTTTTATATTTGGATTTTAGTTTAAAAATCAGCATATTTGGTGGAAATCTGAGAGAACTTATTCTGGCATGTGCTCTTACTCATGAAAAATGCATCTTTGCCGCATCATCCTATGATGACACTCAATCACTTTTAGCAGCAGGGGATGGCCAGTTTTGTGGTGCTCTGAAGGTCACTGGTTCTCTGTCGCCTGCCCAAGTAAAGAGTGGGCCATGGCAGGCTCCATGCTCTCCTTAGGCCATACTCTGAATGATGACTGCAATGCCTTGGCCGCCTCCAATGCAAGCCGATCCAACAGCATATTTTCCACCTCGACGCCTAAGGAAAAAACAATGGCTGAAATCTACTCAAATGAAGAATTGATTAGATAATTAAATACAATTACTAATGCTAACATCTGTATAATTCATCCTCATTCAGCTCATTATCGCAATATTTTATTCAGTCCTCAATATTAGGTTTTTTTCTTTCGATCTGCTTAGTTTTTATTTATTTATTTATTTATTTTTAAAATTATATTTGGCATACAATATTATATTACTTTCAGGTGTACAACACAGTGATTAGACATTTACATGACTTATGGAGTGATCATCCCGATAAATCCAGTACCCATCTGATCATCCCAATAAATCCAATATATAGTTATTACAATACTACTGACTATATTCTTCATGCTATACTCTACATCTCCATGACCATTTTATAACTACCAATTTGTACCTCTTAATCCCCTCCCCCTTCACCCATCCCCCATCCCATAATCTGAGAACAATCAAAATGTTCTCAGTATCAATGAGTTTATTTCTGTTGTTAATCCTGTTCTCTAGATTCCACATATGACATTTGTCTTTCTCTGTCTGACGTACTCCACTCAGCACAACACCTTCTAGGTTCATCCATGTTGTTGCAGATGCAAGATTTAATTCTCTTTTTTTTTTGGCTGAGTAATATTTCATTGTATATATATACCACCTCTTCTTTATCCATTCATCCATTGATGAACACCTAGGTTGCCTCCATATCCTGGCTATTGTAGATAAGGCTGCAATGAACATATGGATGCATATTACTTTTGAATTAGTGTTTTGGGTTTCTTCAGATAAATATTCAGAAGTGAGATAACTGAGTCCTTATTTGTCTTTTGTTATAGCTTTTGTTTTAAAGTCTATTTTGTTTTGCTACCCCAGATTTTTTTGTTTTCATTTTCATAAAATATCTTTTTTTTAGCCCTTTACTGTGTCTTTCAATCTGAAGTGAGTCTCTTGTATGCAGCATATGTAAGAATCTTGTTTTCTTATCCATTCAGCTACCCTATCTTTTGACTAGAGCATTTTATCCATTTACATTTAAAGTAATTGTTGCTAGATACATAGTTATTGATATTTTATTATTCATATTTTTTTCTCTTTTTCTCTTTTTTCTTCTTCTTATAGAAGTCCCTCTAACATTTCCTGTAATATTGGCTTGGTGATGATAAAATATCAGCTTTTTCTTGTCCAGGAATATCTTTATCTGTCCTTTGATTCTCGATATAGTTTTGCTGTGTAGAGTAATCTTGGTTGTAGGTCTTTGCTTTTCATCACTTTGAGTATTTCCTACCAATTCTTTCTGGCCTGCAAAGTTTCTGCTGAGAAACTGGCTGACAGTCTTATGGGAGGAGCTCCTTTGTAGGTAACTAATTACTTTTCCCTTGCTGTTTCTAAGACTCTTTGTCTTTAACCTTTGGCATTTTAATTATAATGTGTCTTGGTGTGGGCCTCTTTGCGCTTCCCGGGCTTGTATGTCTATTTCCTTCAGCAGGTTAGGGAAGTTTTCAGTCATTATTTCTTGAAATAGGTTTTCAATTCCTTGTGCTCTCTCTTCTCCTTCTGGTCTCCCTATGATGCGAATGTTGGTATGCTTGGTGTTGTCCCAGAAGCCTCTTTACACTGTACTTTTTAAAAAATTATTATTGTTTTCAAATTTTTTCTTGTTGTTGTTCTGATTGGGTGTTTTCTGCTACCTTATCTTTTAAATCACTGATCTGAAACTCTGCTTCTTCTAATCTATTGTTAAATCCTCTTAAGGTATTCTTCATTTAAGTTATTGTAGTCTTCATTTCTGACTGATTCTTTTCTGTTTTCTATCCCCACTTTTATGTTTTCTATGTCTTTGTTAAAGTTCCCACTGAATTCATCTACTCTTCCCCTAATTTCATTGAGCATCCTTACAACCAGTGTTTTAAACCTGCATCTGGTAGATTAATTGTCTCCTTTTTGTTTAGTTCTGGATCTTTATTCTGTTCTTTCATTTGGGACATGTTTCTCCATCCTTCCATTTTCTGTTCTTTCATTTGGGACATGTTTCTCTATCCTTCCATTTTGGCTGCCTACTTGTGTTTGTTTCTATGTGTTAGGTAGGGCTGCTATGTCTCCTAGTCTTAGTAGAGTGGCTTTATGTAGTAAGTGTGCTGTGAGTCCCAGTGGCACAGTGTTGCCATAGGCACCGGAGCTGGGTGCTCCAGGTATGTCCGTGTATAGGTTGCATGTGCCCTCCCATTGTAGTTGAACCTTGGTTGCTGTTTGCATGTGAATGGGAAGGAATGACTCTTGGGCTGATTGGTTGTGACGACTGGCCACAACCAGTGGAGGAGCTGTTATGCCGGGGCTGGCCCTATAGAGCAGGATTCGCTTTAGCAGGGCTCTGGTGTCTGCCCTGTCTGCTCTTTGGGTCTGTCATCCTCGGCTGTGACCTTGGGTGGTACTCTGGCTCAGACCAAAGCTGGCCACTGGGTGTGTAGAACGGGGCCTCTCGGGAGGGGCCCTGCCGCAGGCCATGTTCAGCTGCAGCCTATGCCCTGCCCAGAGCCACCTGGCATGAGCCACCAAGCAATCTGCAGATGGCTGCCACCCAAGATGGGCTTGGAAGTGCTTCCAGAGGCCAAGCCAGAAACTGAGGCTGGCTGCCACTAGTGCCAGGTGTGGGGTTACTCAGCAAGAGGTATTGGGCATGCCGAGGCCAGATGCTGATTGTTTAGATTTTGTGATCCTTTCAGAGATTTTAAGAAAGTCTTCGGCATAAACCAAGACAGGTCATTTGTTTGGAAAATCCACTGGAAGTGGCTTGGGTGGGCCTGTACATTGGGAGGGGCCAAGTCTCAGGTAATCATGTGGGTGGGGTGACCACTGTTAGCCAGGTTGATGGAGACTCAGATATGGTGGTTGCCCGTGTCTGTGTGCTAGGCTGGGGATAAATAAAGGAATAATGAATTTTGCCAGCACTTCTGTCTGGGAGAATGCTACTCCTCCAGGCCTCGCCCTGAAGCCAGATAACTCAGTTCCTCCCCATATGTCCCTGGCACCTTTCAAGTTGCTGCTCCAGAGATGGAGCTCACAGTGAGTCCATCACTAAGTCTGTATGCAGTCCCCTAAAGAGGCAGCCCTCCATCTCACTCATCCACAGTCTCTGCTGGTTTTTAACAGCCAGAAGTTCTGGGGACTTCTCTTCCTAGCACTGGAACCCTGGGCTGGGGAGCCCGGTGTGGGGCCAGGACCCCTCTCTCTTCCAGGGGGACCTCCGTAGCTGAGATATTTCTCTTGATTCTGAATTGACACATGTGGGTGTGGGACCCAACTATTTTGCATCTCCACCCCTTCTATAGTCTTGAGGTGGCCTCTTGTGTGTGTCCCCAATTGTAGGGCTTCGGTTCAGCTAGACTTCAGGCAACTCCCAATGATGGCTATTCTGTAGTTGAGTTGTAATTCTAATGTGGTTGTGAGATGAGGCAAGCACAGCATTTACCTACTCTGCAATCTTGGTCCGCTTCTCAATATTAGCTTATAATCACAACAGGAGAAGGAATTTGGAAAGCTGAATATTCTTATTAAAAAAAAAGGAGTAACACAGAAGAGGGAGGCTGAAACCTATTTATAAGCTTAGATGCGTTATGAAACAGGAGTAGGGGTAGGAGGTAATTGAAATAAACAGGAAACAGAGGAAGGGGGAGTAAACATTTAGCCTCTTTGATTTACAGGGTTTTAGAAATTTACGGCAACCTAGAATAAATGTATTTTGTGAAGTTTGTCCATGTAAAAGACAGATAATCTAGAAATATTCATGTCACTTTCATAAAAGTTAGACTCCTTTAAAGTACCATCCGTTCTCATTCCTCAGTCCTGATAAAATGACCTTGAAAAAAGCATCAGGAATTATCGTGTACATGTCAGTCACTCATTTCAACTCAGTGAATCACTAAGTAAAATAAAAGTCCCATTTACCTTAACCTAACAGGGAGCCAGCATGGATTTTTGGCCTGATATATTTGGTTTCATTAGCAATTTTTCTACTAACAGAGCAGAATGGTCCAGAATACACAGTAACGAAAGAGGACTTCCATCAAAACTGAAAAGTATCGAATACACAGAAGGCTCCTCCTGGAACCCTGGAAACCATGAAGGAAAAACTTAGCTCAGATTCAAATCATTTGTTTGCTTAGGTCTCTTCAATGAGAGCAACTAGGTCAGAATCCTCTTGGTATTTTCTTTGTTTTCTTAAATAATTTTATCTTACTCCCTTAACTGCCACTAGCATACAAGGGCCATGAGAACCAGGCCTCACTGTTTGCTCACTGCTGCGCAGCGGCACAGGGCTGGGGCCGCAGGCACCATGGCCTCTCAGTGAGCATGAGCTGAGCGGCTACAGTGAACACACAACAGACAAGAGGAAGAGCACGCGCCCCAAGATCAGAGCCGCTAACTGAGTCTACTGAGTTATCTATAAGGTCAGCTGAAAAGAGGTGCCCAAGTAACTTGTTGCTTGTGTGAAGCAGTGCAGGGGGATCTGAAGAAGAATGAAAAATGTTGGATTGTTGGGGGAAAACCTAAATTCGTGCATTTCTACAAAAGAGGCAAATCTGAACTGCAACAATTTCTAACAAGTACCTTAATTCATGAACCAGGTGTGCGGTAATTCTTGATCCAGAGGCTCCCAACGGATGACCCAAAGCAATGGCTCCTCCATTTACATTGGTTTTACTTGGATCAAGATCCAAACTCTTCTCAACAGCCAAGTACTGGGGAGCAAAAGCTTCATTTACCTTAAAAACAATTGAAACACTGATAAAAATCCTTATTTACAAACTGATTTTTAACTGAGAATTGTCCAGTTCCATTGATAGCTAATTTTGCTGTTTTTTTTCTTCCTATTTAAATTACCTTGCAAGGTTATTTTATCTTTAGTTGTTCTTTATAAATATATCAGGTTTGAAAATGGGTATATTTACTAAATGGTACTTTAAGTCGAATGCATCCCTTAGGCAAAAAAGATCCTCTGTAATATTAAAAATGGATATTCAAAGCAGTGGGATACTGGTTAGAGCCCATAGGTTCTAGAGCTAGGTTAACAGTTCAAATCTTGGCTGTATGCATGTCTTTAAACTCTCTTAACACTCAAAATTTCCTCAATAGTAAAATGTGACAGTAGTAGCATCCTAAGAGTTATTGTCAAGGTTAATTAAGTTAACCTTGGGTATTAGGTTAATCATGGGTATTGAATGTCTAGTGTATTACCTGACAAACAGCAAGTACTCAATAAATAGTTGCTATTATTATTATTATTATTATTATTATTATTCCTCAGTTCTACCACCCATACTTCCAAGAAGAGACTGACAGGCAACAAAGAATAAACCTTCAGAGTCCGATACATAAGAGAAATGGCTACTATGTTGAAATGCAGCAGAAATATTTATATTTAACAAGGCTGGCTATGCAAATTATCTTACTTCAAATTTATAGCACTATATTTTCATATGATTTTTCCTAGAGAATTTTATAGACAAGAAAAGTGATTTTAAGAAAGGTAACTTTTATAGAGTTGGGATCAAAATCTAGTCTTGTGTTCTTTCCTACTATATTTTGTGCTCTCTCAAAAAGGTACCCTGTTTGTCCTTAGATTCAACATTGTTTTTCCATTTTATATAGTCATGTTCAAGGACGTGTAAGGGACCTATGATGTATTATGAAAGTATGCTTCTGAACCTAGGAAAAACTACCACATGATCATCAAATATCTCAAAGAAAATCACACCAAGGTGTTGAGAGCTATGTCCTTGAATATTTTTATATCTATAAATGATTATGAAAAGCTTTGGAATGCTGACAAATTTCAATACTTTTAAGAGTAAAATCTAAAGTCAGAAATTTAGTGGTACCTATTTGCTAATACAAATGTGGTAAGTAAGCAGCAACCTTGAGGCTGTGCACTGTTGACTGCCTAAGGATGGAAGTAGAGGTTTAAAGATAAACCGTTTGTTTGAAACCATAGTTGCCTGGGCGAGCGATTACCACAGAGGGAATCACACACATGTCTAGAATGAAAAGGGCCCTTCTCTATCAGTTTAAATTGAGAGATTTCCTTTGTCATGTTAATTATTTCCAAATGTCAAGCAGCGTATGCTTAATTACCTAAAATTTTCATATGCTCCCAAAATGTAAAATGTATCTAATCCATCTCTAAGTATTTTCTCTACCCCTTCTTTTAATTGTGCAAAATACTTAAAATGCCTTTGTTCTAAACCAACATTTAAAAAAAATACTCTACCAATAAATTTAAGTTTCCAATGCCAAAAATTATAATAGGTGCATCTCAAATTAAACCACAACTAAAAGCCAAGGTAAGTTTGGTGGTGGCGGTGGGGGTGTCTTAACCTGGGGGGACAGTGAGAAACTTCTAGATTTGGCACCAAATATTATTTTCCTATTAGGTCAATTCTTGTATTTTTTCACTTTAATTCATAAAATAGGGTTAAAGTTACTTATTTCTCATCTACTTTATATAATAATCATTTTAATTCAATAAGCACATTAATATCCAAAAAGGTAATAGAGTCTTATACTTTAGTAGGAGAAATCAGGCTATTTTAATTGTTCGAATATAAATAAAACATTTTAATCAGGTCAAGGAAAGTATCAACACAAGGCATGTAATGAAAGTAATACTTATTTAGATGTGAATCATTTGGAAAGACTAACAGAACTAAAACAAAAAGCTATAAAATACCAAATCGAAGCCATTTACGTACAGAAGTTAGCGGTTTATTCATGCTGTGAAAAAGTAAAACGCTTACCTCTACCAAATCCATGTCCTTAAGACTCAGTCCTGTTTTCTTCAGTGCCCCATTGATAGCAGAGACAGGACCTACATTAGAGCAGATTTCAATTTCATTTTTATTTATGTAACGAATTTCTCCATCTTTACTAAACAGGTAAGTAAGGAGGAAAGTGAGGAGTTGTTAGTAGCCATCAATCTTACTACTTTTAAAGTATACTATTAAATTGTGTGACAATAAAAGAAATCAGAAAATGGGACCAAGGTGAAAGCTGTTTATGCAGTCAAATTGCAGAGGAGAGACTTAATGAAAAGTTCTACCATAAATGGCCAAATAAGTCATATATGGGATTTTGCCATCATTTATAGATCATACTTCATAGCAAATGGCAAGGCAGGCTGAATGCTCTCTCAGAATACAAATTATATGCATTCCCAGTATAGAAGTGATTGTGCCTACATTCTGAATTTTCAGGACGAAAGAGAAGAAATGGCAGCAGCATCTCCATATAGGCATAGCAAAAGAGGCACTTAGGAAAAAGACGCTTGAAGAAACATGGAGATGTTTATAACTCCAACAGTAGGCAGAAAGTTTAAATAAAACACAACTCCCACTGAAGAAATACAAACCCACCTAATACGACCTGAAACTTTAGCTCCCAGATTTCTTATGACCACCAATGACAGTTTAATATTGCTCATAATTTTAAAGTAAATTGATTTTTTTTTCCAAAGGTAAAAAATCTGGTTCGGGATGATTATCTACTTCTCTATTTGTTCTTAGAAAGAATGAAATTGTCTAAAAAGAAAATATGTGCTATGTTCTGCTGAATTCAAGTAGTCAAATATTATGCAACAAATATTATTCACAAATACAGCCAAGGTAAAATGGGAAATCAGTCTTTACAAGAAGAGCATAATGCAACCTAAATATAATGTAATTTATTTTGTCACCTAGTTAAAATGTTCTTCAAGCAACAGTCTGATGATTGGTAGGACCATGCTTTTCAACTTAAAGGACCAGTTCTGCACTGGCTACTGATTTAAAATGGAATCTAATTCCATATTTATTCTCTTTGTATCTCTAAGGCATTAAAATGGGATGAATAGTTCACAGTAGAGCATCGGCTATCTAGCATGATCAGGGAATGAAGTATCCTACTGAGGTGAAAGATACACAGAACTAAAAGCTAAGAGTATATAACCATTGTTCACATTTCCCTGTCTTCGTAACCACAGTAAGCATGACTTGATGTGTTCATGCTAACTCAGAATTGTTACAGGTAATTGTAACAATATGCTATGCCACAATTTGACTTTTAAAGGATAGTTATTTACTGGGACTTAGGAAGGTATAGTATTCTTATTGGGGAAAGGCTTTATTTCTAGTCCTGGCTCCGACCAGTAATAGCTGTGTGTCCTCAGTCACCTTTTGGGGCTATAAGCTTCTTATCAGAAGTGCTTTGAACTGGTTTTTAACCTTTTTCTTTTTAAGCAATGGCATCTTTTCTATTAAGGAAGCTCAGTGTCAGATCAAGCTAGAGCTGCTCCAGCTGAACAGGCTCAGAGTTCTCCCCACCAACACCCACCACTGCCATCCCCGGGGAGTTCTAGGGGGCACCCTTTCCATAGCTGTGTCCTTCATTAGAGCCATTCTCGTTCTCTTCAAGTCCCAACGTTCCCTTTTTCCTGGGTCTGCAGGTACTCTGCAGGTCCACAGATTTCTATATGTTGGATAACTGCATAACTGAAGAACAACTATTCTCAGAAATTAGATTGACAAACCCATCTCCACTGAATACTCTATAATCTATTCTTCCCTGCTTGTTCATCTAGTGCACGTCACATAGCTACCTTGCTTAATCCCATACTACAACCGACAGACCAGCTGTCTAGATGAAGGGAGCATATGATGCTGTGGAGCATTTGGCATATATAGCTCTGGTCAAACCTTGAAGGAAAAAGATAATCTTTCCACAGTGCATTCACTGTACTACAGGACAAACATCTAGAATAGAACGAAGGCGAACCACTACCTTTTCTTTGCTCACTGATTATGTTAAGGTATCAGAACCAATTAAACGAAGTTAAACTGAAAAAGAACTATAAAATAACTACTTACCTATATAAAATGTTTTTTATGATCTATCAAGTAGTCAAATATTATGCAACAAATATTATTCACAAATACAGCCAAGGTACAATGGAAAAAACCTACATCCTAGGCTCCACCCCAAACCTGCTGAAACAAAGCCTTGTGGGGTGAGATTACAGGTGAATTTTGATGATCATGTGGTGTTGGGAACCACTGTTCTACATACCAAAGTGATAAATGCCATATCTAAATACAGATATTTAATTTTTCAAGATACCTTCCATCTCTGTGACAAAAGTTCTGTTTTGCTAATAATGGATAGCTGAAAGTCAATAAGCTTATAAGACTGTATATAACTGTAGGGAGATAAAGCTCCCCAAATTCAAAAGAGTGCATGGATTATCTCGGGAGGCCTGCTTGCATAAAAAGGAAAAGGCTGGTTCTGTGGAATTCCAGGAAGAAGAAGATTAAGTATAGATAAAGGGAGTGTCAAAGGAAGTGTCGATTGTACCTTGATCTTCAGGATGTTACTTTAATTATGTTATCTTGGGATACACAAAGGAACTGATTATGTATAAAAAGAAGCATAAGAAATAAATTCGGAGAGACAGTTGTGAGATCTGTTCTCCCTCCTGCACCCTGTCTGTCTTCTCTTTTTTCTCAGTCCCCGCTCCCCCATTCAGGTACCCGGTTTGACTTGGTCGGCTGGCTTCCGACATATAACAGATAACAATGGACTTTTAACAGATGTTAGTTTTGGTTGGCATAATTAGCAATACAGTGAAAGATGACAGGTATGGACATGCCAGCTTGCTTTCTTAGAAATTCTACGCCAAGATAAATCGTCTCTGAAGGACATATCAGTAAATATAGTTGAGTATTAACTCAGTCCCAAATCAGCATAAGTGGTTCCATCTGAGTAGGACCTGGAGCCTCACACTGACCGACGTCTGAACGGCAGGTCAGCAACAGGTTCTCTCCCTTAGATCTTGGGACCCACTTCAACAACCAATTTAGTTCATCAAAAAAGGCCTAACTAAGCTCATAGAAAAATCTTTTGACATATCAAGAATCTGAATCTATTCTTTAGGGTAGGCTATTCCTTGGGATATGAGAGTATAGATGGAATAGATCAAAACCCGTGGGCACACTTTTATTTCTGTGAGGTTCCTAATTGGTTCCCTGTTTCCCCAGAGAACAATGGCAGGAACTATTAAAATTCAGCATCATCTGTGGTTCTTGGGAGTGCATCTAGCAAAAAACTTATTGTTCTACTTCTAATTCAGACTTTTCTAGCCAAGAATATACGCGTTTGCAGGGAGTTACAAATCTTCTCCCGCTAGCACTTTGCCAACTGTGATAGATTGTTTATAATTCTCTATTTTCCTGTTAAGCCTCAGCTGAGCCAGGTATGACTCTGGCTTCCTGAGAGCACTTGAATTATACCTGGATTCACACCCTGGCTCCATCACTTACTAGTTTGGAGCTTTATAAGACAACTAACTTCCCTACGCTTCAGTTTTCTCATTCACAAAGAAGTCTCACTAGAGTTTCGGGAAGATTAAATGATATAATAATGACCATGCATAAAACATCCAGCAAGATATTTATCTTCTGCACACAGCCTTCTCTATTGTGCCTCATGATTTCTCCCATCTCACTTTTCTTTTATCTCGTCAGTACCTTGTAATTCTTTTGTTATTTTCTCTGTGTTAATTTTAAATATCTCAAATGGACAATAAGACGTGATTACTGCCCACGAGGAGTTTACAGTCTTGGTTTTCCTACTGAGACTAACGTAGTTTTTTCACAAAGATTAGTTGTTTAAAAGATTGATTACCAATCTCCTTTTCTTGACAAGTGACCTTGATTTGGCTACTATTTCAGGAATTAGAATGCCAAAGAATACTTATCTCCAGAAATAGAACAGAACCAGTTTGTTTCACTACAAACTTACCAATACCCATGATAGAGGGATCACATCCAGACACAAAATAGCCCACAACTCTTGCTAGTGGTGTGAAGTTATGTTTTTTAATAGCATCTTCACTAGCTATGATAACAGCTCCAGCACCATCAGATATCCCCTAGAAAACAAAAACAGAAAGATTAACTAGAGGGTAAAAGTTAACCAAAGTTTGAACTAATGGAGTAGTACTATTAGGATTATGGCAGTACATAGGTGGCAGTGCCCTTATTTGGGTTACAACAAATAGTACCAGACATACTCTGGTGAATTACAGAGATTGTTTTAGGCACAGAATACAATCTCACTAAGGGAAAATAAAGAAGAATGTTAAGGAAAAGCTTATATCCAGTGTGGAGAGATATAAGGAGAAATCTGATGAGACTGTATACGTGAGAAAGAAAAAAAGTGTGAGAACTGAAATAATAAACCGGCTAAATTTCCTTCTAACATTGAAAAGACTAAGAAATTGAAAGACTATCATAAAAGGGCCCCGAGTTAAAATATTTTGTTATGACCTATGAAAACCCACATTAATAGAATATGAATTCTATTAGTTTCAGCTGAAGATTATAATGAAAAATATCTAAAAGATACTACATGATTATTTTGCATTGTACACATCAAGAAGAGTTCAAGATACTCCGTGATGCTACCTACCGACGCGTTGCCTGCAGTAACGGTTCCTTCTTTCTTGAATACCGGGGCAAGTTTATTTAACTGTTCCAGGGTTACTTGGGGCCGAACACACTCATCTACTTGCACTGTCTGTTTTCCTTTCCTTGTCTTCACCTCAACTGGTACCATCTCGTTGTTAAAGCGGCCAGCATCATTAGCTGAAATCGTTGAAAGACGATCATAAGAATGGGGAAAGAAAAAAGAGAAACAAGAAAAGAAACTAAATCAATCATATCCTTTAATTTCTTTAAATTTCTGGCCTGCCCTTTCCTCATGGCCTACGTTAATGTAAGCTTTTATTATTCACATAACGTACTTAGCCTTCTGGAGGATTTAATATGCTGTCAATGCAGATATGCAGACACATTCTGTACCTTTTTAAATTATAATTTTTGATTTTTTTCCCTTTTTAAATTAATAGTCACCACACATTTGACCCCTTTTATCTCATCTACCTCCTCCTTCCCTCCCCTTTAGTAACCACTAGTCTACTGTCCATGTCTATGAGTCTCTGTTTGCTTATTGCTTTTAGGTTTATATCCCACATATAAGTGGTATCATGTGGTTTTCAACTTTTTCTGTCTGGCTTATTTCGTTTAGCATGATTATCTTGAGGTGCATCCATGTCATTGCAAATGGCAGTATTTCATCCCTTCTTTTGACCGAGTAATATTCCATATTGTATATATGTACCACAGCTTCTTTATCTGATCATCTATCATAGGACACTTTGGTTATTTCCATGTCCTGGCCACCATGAATAATGCTGCTATGAACATCGGTGTGCAAATATCTTTTCGGATATGGATTTTCAAGCCTTTGGGGTAAATAGCGAACAGAGGGATTGGTGGAGCATATGGTTGATCAATTCTTAGTTTTTTGAGGAACCTCCATACTGTTTTCCATTGTGGCTGTACCAATTTGCAGTCCCAATTTGCAGCGGTGTATGAGGGTTCCTTTTTCTCTGCATCCTCTCCAGCATTTGTTTTTACTTGTCCTGTTGATTATAGCTATTCTAACAAATGTGAGGCGGT